TCCAAGTAACACAAGGAATAAATCTTATGTGATCCTGGGTTTACCATAAAGCAAATAGCAAGCTATACAACAATACAACTTTCAAGATGAAGAATTAACTATGATCCATAAAATTAATATTAATTTTACTTGACACCAACAATTAAACTTCAGTTATTAGTGCTGAAATTTTTGTAACTTTTTAAATAAAAAGATAACCTAAAGATTAAGGTCAGCTTTAATAAAAATTAAAAATCACTGATGTTGAGACCATATAAAAAAATTTGATTTGCTTCATATGATGTATGTATTAAAAGTCAAACTAGATAATCGCTATTGACTAGTCCTGACTGTTTTATAAGTAGCACAAGATTAGTTAGATATTTCCAAGACTAGTGGTTATAGCATAACATCAATAAGTATAAATGTGTAGGATGAGTTTATCATCTTAGATTGATATTTAGTACGTCACACTATTACTCCTTTGAGTCAAATATACGTTTTTGAATAACAAATTGGAAACTTTGGCTTGAGTTTTTACTCTACCAGTATTTAAAATTCGTTCACATAGAAATGACTGATTCTACATATAATTGAAATCCAAGCACGTAATGAGTGAAGATAAAAAAAACCAGACATTAGAGCCAACAAACAAATTGTTTGGTCTCCAAAGGAACTAAGCTGTTGAAAGTTTTAAACAAGAAAAAACCGAATAGACATATAGAAAGGGAAAAAAATGGGTGGGAATTTTAGAAAAAAATCGATCAGTGATCAAGTGTAGGGTGAGTATAAGATGAATATTGAGTTGAGTATATACTTACTTGAGTGTGCATGAAGACTTTAAAGCTAGTGACCACGCGAGTAGGGGGTTGTCCTTGGTAATTCTCGGGATTCGGCGGCGGGTCCATGCGTGTACAACGTCCATGAAGTCGTAAAATTGAAGATGTTGATGAGACGAGGGCCTGGAGATCATCACTTCTGCAGCTTTTAAAGGCATATCCAACATCCAACCGACCGGAGCCAACGTAATCAACACTTCCGAGAAAGGACATGAAGGAGAAATATCACTGGGCCGCGAAAAGAGCACAAATAAGACAATAGAAATCGACGAGTTCACGAACACAAAAATACAAAAAGACACGTATGAACATTTCAAGTTCATTTACGGGCACAGAGTTTAACTTAAGTCAGTACTGTTCGCAAAAAAAACAAAACCCTAAGTGCAAATGTATTCATTACCCTACCTACAAGATTTACAAGTGCAAAACCTGTACCTACTCAAAGTGGCGGCTTTGCTGCCGGCCGCGTTGCTCTCTTGCGGCACTCTCATCTCGAAGTCTCTGATGACGGGTTATTAACCTTAATCTCTTACCTGTTTTTAAGCATTAAATGCAGGACAGACGAGATCAGATAATCTCTGACGAGATCAACCAACCAGAGGAAGTTACAAATGTTTCATACTTAAGTGACAAGTCATTTTACATGATTGGCAATTTCGTAAATGCTGCCAACAGTTAAATAAATATGTAGTAGGTCGTGGTAACGCCGCATGGTCGGGCGGCGCTAGCGTCAACCTGTATACTACTAACTCATAACTGTCCGAACTGTCGGTGAATGGGAATTCCGCAGCGTTACCACAAGTACCACCACCACGACGTACACGTGACTGTATGTAGGTACATAACTTATGTACGTAACGTATGTAGTACATACTATGTACGTAACTTAAACTGCTGGCAGCATTTGCGGCATTCAGCCTCTGATTTTATTATCATTCTGGTAAAGAGAGCACGGTGTAAGATGTACATGAAGTTATGTGTAGTAGTATAGTAATTACTACTAATTAGTGCCATATGGTCGATTTTATTAAACCATATTTATAAGTAGAAAATCTATACTTTTGGAGATCGATTTATGAGTAGAAAATAAATTGTAAATTTGCCGCAAGTAGCTCAAACATCGTCAACTTTTTATTAAATATCTAGATAATTAGTTGCGGCTGGTTTATAATTGACTAAATGGCTCTACCACAAGTTATAGTAATATAATTATTTGGATCAGCGCCATCTAGCGTTAGGGATTTTTGAACTAAAAAGTGGCCCTAAACTTTTGACCCACAGCATTAGCGCTTAGAGCCATTTAGCCAATTATAAACCAGCCGCAACTCATTTGAGAGCTGTAAAATCAAAAAATAACAGAACATGAGTTTGTGGCGGCAAGTTAACAATCTATTTTCTATCAAAAATTGATCTTCTATGTATTTATACTTTTGAAGATAAATTTTCGAGTACTAGATAGACAGTTAATCTGCCGCCAAAAATACATGTATCGTTATTTTTTTATTTTATAGCTACAAGATAAGTTGCGGCTGGTTTATAATTGGCTAAATGGCTCTTAGCGCTAATGCTGTGGGTCAAAAGTTTAGGGCCACTTTTCAGTTCAGAAATCCGGAACGCTAGATGGCGCTGATCCAAATAATTATATTACTATAACTTGTAGTAGAGCCATTTAGTCAATTATAAACCAGCCGCAACTAATTATCTAGATATTTAATAAAAAGTTGACGATGTTTGAGCTACTTGCGGCAAGTTTACAACGTATCTTTAACTCACAAACTGACCTATATATTTATACTTTTTGAAGTAGATTGTAGGTAAAAGAAAAATTGTAAACTTGCCGCAAATAGTACAAACAACGTTTATTTTATATTTTATTTCTGTGGCATCAGTTGCGGTTGGTTTATAATTGATTAAATGACTCTACTGTAAATTGTAATAATTAAGGTAGAGCCATGCGAGCCATGTAATCGTTAGTATATTTGCATGAATTAATACAAGGAAAAAAGTTCAACTCATTGAAGTTAAATATACCCAATCACGATTTTTCATATCCTAAAAAAAAATCAAAGAAAACATATTGATGGATGATGATCCAAAGCTTGTATAAGTTTCTTGTAGTTTTTTTTTTTTTTGGTAACAAGTGTACACACGTACATGTCATATATGTAATTCTTACTAATATCGGAAGATAATTTAATAATTATAGTAAACAGATAGCTTTTTAAGTAACAGTAATTTCCCTCGACACACATTTACACGACTAAAACTTGGTAACTTCCTTAAGATGTACTACTTGAAATCATGAACTTTTCGGAAAATAAAACATTTTTGAATTTTATGAATATAAATATATAGCTTCTTAAGTAACAGTAATTGCCCTTAACACACATTTATACGACTAAAACTTGGTAACTTCCTTAAGATATACTTCTTGAAATCATGAACTTTTCGAAAAAAAAAACATTCTTGAATTTTATTAATATAATTTCATTGCATTCTTTTAAAGTACATTAATTCGTGTGGTACCTCGTGATGTTTTTCATTTCCTAATTATCATCACAACTGTAGTGTTTAAATATGTATGTTTAGTTTGAAGTAAACGTTTGCTATGGCATGCCCACCAACATAATTTTTCACAGAACTACGCAAAAACATTATCATTCTCATATTATATTTGCTTTATTTAAACACGTTAATTATAGATAATAACAACAGGTTAAATACAACGTGAGATATCTCTTGTCAATCAATTAAACGTGTGTGCAATGCAATTGTCATCTTGATCCTTGCCCCCCCCCCCTACACAAGGCACCCTTGTATAAACAAAAATCATTAATAGAAGTAATAGTAAAATAGTAGTACTTGTAGTAATAACTACTAAGTAGTCGATTTTCTAAGCCGAATATGATAAGTAGAATATTTATGGTTTTGGAGGTCGATTTGCAGGTAAAAATTCAATTGTAAACTTGCCGCAAATAGCATTAGTCACATCAACTTTTTATTTCCTATCTATTAAATTAGTTGCGGATGGTTTATAATTGATTAAATGGCTCTACTACAAGTTATAGTAATATAATTATTTGGATCATTGCCATCTAGCGTTGCGGATTTTTGAACTAAAAAGTAGCCCTAAACTTTTGACCCACAGCATTAGCGCTTAGAGCCATTTAGCCAATTATAAACCAGCCGCAACTTATCTTGTAGCTATAAAATAAAAAAATAACGATACATGTATTTTTGGCGGCAGATTAACTGTCTATCTAGTACTCGAAAATTTATCTTCAAAAGTATAAATACATAGAAGATCAATTTTTGATAGAAAATAGATTGTTAACTTGCCGCCACAAACTCATGTTCTGTTATTTTTTGATTTTACAGCTCTCAAATGAGTTGCGGCTGGTTTATAATTGGCTAAATGGCTCTAAGCGCTAATGCTGTGGGTCAAAAGTTTAGGGCCACTTTTTAGTTCAAAAATCCCTAACGCTAGATGGCGCTGATCCAAATAATTATATTACTATAACTTGTGGTAGAGCCATTTAGTCAATTATAAACCAGCCGCAACTAATTATCTAGATATTTAATAAAAAGTTGACGATGTTTGAGCTACTTGCGGCAAATTTACAATTTATTTTCTACTCATAAATCGATCTCCAAAAGTATAGATTTTCTACTTATAAATATGGTTTAATAAAATCGACCATATGGCACTAATTAGTAGTAATTACTATACTACTACACATAACTTCACGTACATCTTACACCATGCTCTCTTTACAGTCTTTACCAGAATGATAATAAAATCAGAGGAATTGCACATTAGAAAAAGTAGGAATGCTAAGTTACCGATTACCGTTTCAGAAAATGCATGTAATTATTGTAATTGAAATTTGCGAACTGTTTTCATCACCAAATATCTTGCCAAACTTCTGAAAATTATGAAGTTTACCATTGGATCCCATTTATTTATTTATTGCGGATTTATTGCGCGTATTGTAGCAAAGTGACGCGTACGATACTTGTGATTTCTTCAGGATCTAATAAATGGTACTGTTCATGATAGTAGTTTAGAACAATACCATTAAATGGTTTGCTTTTCATGTAGTTATTGGTACTAAATGCCAGGAAATTTAAAAACCATATACTTTCTTTATTAGTAAGTGTTGTGTAAAAAATGCGAACAGCTTTTGGTAAGGATATAATTTATTTTATAAACAGCATCATGTAAAAATAAACTTATGATAAAAGCTTGTCTGTACCACACGTTCAACAAGGACAGTCGAAAAATACAAAGATTTGACTCTGAAAAAGTATAAAAATGCATCTTTAAAAAATGCAGTAACAAGTATAGTAGATATAGATACACTTTCTTTCATATAAACTAATTATTCCCAAGTGCTAGTTACATACTTCTAGCATTACATAAATTCTTTCAAAAATTACAAACTTGCGTCGAAATAAACCGACCGACTTTTTACTGCTGACCATAACAGTAGTGATTCATCCGACGAGATTATTTACTGTGGATGGAATTTCTTTTGAGGGTCCTTCGCCATGTCGTAAAGAAGATCGCATGGCTTGAATGGCTCACCATAGTGGGTTGCAAACTCTTCCATTTTGTTCACCAATTTATGCGCGCCATAATAGTCAACCCAACGGAACGGTCCACCAGTAAATGGTGGGAAACCAAGACCAAACACGGCTCCGACATCACCTTCCAGCTATGATAGAAAATATATACGTAAGTACATTTGTAAAATACTTCAGTATTACGGGATTATCTTTTACTTACAGGATTGGCTAGTATGTTTTCTTGCAAGCACAGTACAGCCTCGTTGACAAATCTTGAGACCATTCTCAATTGCCTATCTTCATCGGAAGTGCTTCCCAATGGTTGGAGAGTGTATTTCTTAATAATATCTAAGGCACCTGGGTTGATGTCTCTGTGTTTAGAACCAGTCTCATAAACGAATATACCTTTGCCGGATTTTCGACCTGGTTAAATGATATTGAAATAATATGATGAGTTTGGCTATTGGTACTATTATAATAATTTCTGAAAATTATTGTTTTTACCAAGATATCCTGCTTTGACCATGTCAACTAAGATATTTTCATTCCCTCCCTTAAATCTATCTCCAAGAGCTTTCACAAGATCAACGCTGATATGAGAACCTACATCGAGACCAACTTCGTCAGAGAGCGTTGCAGCCCCAACAGGAAAACCAAATTTCTTGGTGAGCTTATCTAAATCTATAGGGTCAACACCCTCCTACAAAATAAAATAAAACAATATTTTAAGCACGAGTTATAAATTGTAAAGGAAAAAGTGATGTTTTTTTAACATAAATATTTACCTGCATCAACCTGACCCCTTCAGTAATCATGGCTGATAAAATTCTAGTTGTATAGAATCCTGGACCATCACCAACAGTAATAACAACTTTTCCTTGCTTAAGACCAACGTCCACGGCTGCTTTAATCGTTTCTTGGGAAGTACCTTTGTGCGTAATGATTTCCAAAAGTTGCATTTTGTCAACTGGTGAAAAGTAGTGCATTCCAATTAACTAAACCAAAGTAATGAGCATACGTTTAGAATACGTCAAGTATCACTTTATACATTAAAATAGCAAAATATTAAAATATCAATCATTACTCTATCAGGTCGACCACTTCCTGCAGCGATCTTTGTGATGGGTATAGCAGAAGTGTTTGTCGCAACTATACAATGTTCCGGAGTGCTTGATTCAATTTCTTTAATGACTTTATGTTTGATACCAAGATCTTCAAATACTGCTTCAATGACAATGTCGGTATTTTTAAACTGGTCATAGGACAGTGTAGGCGTTAAGTTAGCGAGGAAGATCCCTTTTTCGATGCTGCAAAATAAAACAAAATTTTTTGTTTACCGTAAAAAATGTTTACCATTAAACACAGGACAGGTAAGCTTAATTTATATACTTGTTAATTTTTTTTCTTTTAACGGCATTGCTCAAGCCAGTCTGTATTTGAGCGACTCCCCTGTATAATCCATTGTCATTTGTATCCTTCAGGATGACATTGTAACCTTTGTCAATACTCACATGAGCAATGCCAGCTCCCATTAAACCAGCTCCAACAACAGCAATATTCCTGAATTACAATCAATTTAGTATAACATTTTTTTAAATTTTATATCAGGTAGAGTATTGTTTTTCTTACTTGACTGGAGTTTTTGGAGCACCAAACCGATTTTTTTTGCATTCCGTTTGTCCAAAGAAAAGACTAATCAAGCCTTTGCTCTGTGGAGTCATTGCCAATTGTGCAAATCCCTTGGCTTCTACTTCATATCCTTCTTTAGGTCCCTTATCAATTCCAGTGCGAATCACTTCTAAAATCTTCAGAGGAGCTGGATAAAGTCCATTGGTTTGTTTCATAACAGTAGCTTTCGCCTTTTTGAATACTTGCTCTTTGACAAAGTTAATGGATAGGACATAATTCATCAATTTGTCGATGGTATTCTTTGGACCTCTATCAATTTTAAGTTTTCCATTAGCAATATCTTTCGCCACTTGAACCGCAGTTTCTTCCAAGTATCTTCTTGTGCTGCAAACACAAGTGATATATTTTAATACAGATCTTTATGTTTGTTTTAAAAGCTAACATACTTTTCCTCTGTTGTGGCTATTCCGGGTCCCAATCTATTTACAAGGAGATCAACCAATCCAATTTTTTTCGCTTTATCAGCTTTCAGTGTTCTACCTGTCAACGGTATGTCTAGGGCATTTGGCAGTGAAACTAGTTTCGGTAGTCTTTGGGTACCACCACCACCAGGAAGCAGGCCAAGCATTACTTCGAGTAAACCAAAACCAGTCTTGGTATCTTTTACTGCTATGCGATAATGGCAAGCTAATGCTACCTGCATTGTAACAAGACGTTTTGTTATTATTATAATTGGAAAAGAAATAAGAATAAGAAAAATTTACCTCCAGTCCTCCACCCAAGCAACTGCCTTGGATGGCAGCTACAATGGGTTTTTTACTTTCTGAAATTTTGTTGAGAATCTCTTGTCCGTTCTTGGATATGTTATAAACACTCTCTTCATCCTTGCAGTCCCTCAACATAGTAATGTCAGCACCGGCAATGAAACAATTTGGCTTATCGCTTATAAGTACAGCTGATCTTACAGATGGATTGTTCTCCACATCTTGTAATATTAATTTTATTTCTGACATTACTTCCCAGTTTAGTGAATTCACCTGAAGTTATAATTATTTTAACAACGATAAAAACGATAAAAATTGATGACTCTTTCATGTTATCTGTTTAGTAATTTTCAGAAAGAGAAGTGATATTATACCTTACTCCCTGGGGAGTTCATAGAAATAACAGCTACATCTTCAGCAACTTTGTACGAAAAATGTTTGTTTTTTGATTCTGTAGCAAGGGTGCGAAGTGGTTGGTGAAGGGCTGAAATTAATTAAAAAATCGCATGTTATTTGATGCATGTTCATGCATTGAAAATTTATAATTCATGTTATTACATAAAGTCAGTCATCGAGATATTAATGGATTTAATAATAAGTTAGGGTTAGGTATAGGCCAATTTATATCAAGTGCTCCAAAATTGCATGAGTATATAGGTATATATAAATGGAATGTTACATTCCAATGAATCGTAATCTTTTCCATATACAAATGTATTTATAGTAAGTAGACAATTTTCAATTACTTTAAACATTTAAGAAGGAAACAGCGATAAACACAAAAAGATCAAATGATGTTTAGTGATATAAAAAATTTGAAAATACTTTTGCTGATTGAAAATAATATAGTGTTCGTAAGTATTTCAAGTAAAAAAAATGACATCATCAACCAACACAGAGGTCATTGGAGAGTAAGCAAGTTGAATGCAAGATTGTAGTCTGTAGATATTGGCAGTGGGTTAAAAGAACAAAATAAAAATTTATCTCTTGGGAAAAAAAACACAACTGTGTTGTAAGTACAACATGAGTGTCTGGAGCTAGAGATATAAAAGTGAGAAGGAGAATGATGAATGACTTGGCATCTTAATCATCATGCATTCTGCAGTACCAATCTGCCACCGGGGAAAAAAAAAATAATACAAACTTGGTTTATCAAAAGTAAAAGAACAAGGGTCAGACGTACCTGCCCGGGTAATAAAGTTCACGTTGGTGCGGGAAAAACGGGCGAGCGCCCCAAAAAGCCGACAGCTGGCCATGATTCCTTTTAATAACGATCAGTCAAGGTTTCGCTTCGCGAAAAACTCGTGACCTGTCTGCTTCCTTTTTTATTTTATTGTGACTAACGAGGCCAGACGTTTACTCTTTCCACGGCATAAGTATAAGTAAGTAAACCCACAGACAAGCCTCTATTTTCTCGCCGATTGACGATCTCTCTCTGTCACTGTGTTGTCACTGTTGTCTAATGTAGATTATCTATTAATCTATATCTATATATGTCCCACTACCACACACACTCCTATACTTCATGGTTTTATGCAGGTTACCAGTTACTTGCCACGGTGGTACCTACTGTACCCTCTGTACCACCCTGTATAAATGTGTGTTGCCAATCAAGGCCCTGAATAGGTCCTGACTACAATGTGTAAGTTTGGTGTAGAACTATAATGTAAGACCGTCAGCGCGAAACTGTATATTGGCAATAATTGGAGATTGGAGCTATTCCTATAGACATTTTTTGCATATTATTTCATTGTGAACGTTCATATTGAAAAGGGGGTTCCACTGTTCCGCGAAACTCAAAGTGAGTGAACAGACTGAACAGACCTCGTGCACTGAAACATGACGTCAAGGGTTAGATCTGAAAGCCGTAGAGAGTATTTATTATTAATATACTATGTAAGCTTTGGAGTATCACCCCGATTCCTTTTCTGAGTAACAGTCAAAAATCATCCCAATTTTTTTTCGTGTAAGTGTGAAAAAACATGTTGAGTAATTTGACGTGTGATACGATTCATACGATTAATAGTGTTTGGGTGACCCAAATTTGGGAGCCTTGCATGGCCCTCTTGGTCTTGGGTCCAGGGTCAGTTAGGTCATACACTCCAAACAGTCCGAACACACCTTCATCGAACAAATCTATTAACAGTATAAACTGCACGTTCTTTAGAAATAGACACATAATAGAAATATACTTAAAGTGCCAAAACATGTGCAAATGTTGACACATTTTATTTTAATCGAACAATAACTACTTTAGAAATATTATAAGTTTACTTGTCATTTTAATAACGGTTATTGAAATCTTTAACCAATAACAAAGGTCTTTCAAAAGTAGTTTTGGAGTACATGATTTAATAAGGTTCGTAATTGCACATGATTCTCAACTATTTATTTCTTGTTAAAATGTTGTCTAATAAAAAAGACAAAAACTTTATTGTATACACAATGTATTACACATCTATTGTTTAGAAGATAAGTTTGAAATTAAAAAACATTCATGTAGCGAATTGTAAAGTTTTCTGATTATTACAACTTTTAGGACTACAAGAACGTTATTTGTGTAGCTGACAGTCTGGATCAGTTCAATTTTGAAAACTACAATGGCCAGTTCTTTCGGAGGTAAAGTAGTTAATTTTCGAGATACATTTAAACTAGGCGATAAAAATACATTGCGATGGTTTCCTGGACACATGGGCAAAGGAATCAAACAAATGGAAGAAAAATTGAGAAATGTTGACTGCTTGATAGAGGTGCATGATGCGAGAGTACCAGTTTCTGGTCGTTACGCAGACTTTAGAAAAACCTTGTGCAATTTAAAACCACATATTTTTGTTTTGAATAAAAAAGATTTGGCTGACAAGACTTACATTGTTCCTGCCTTGAATAGATTACACGATGAAGGCATAAAACACGTTGTATTGACAAATATGAAGTCTCAGGCTGACAAAGGGGCTACCAAAATAATGCCGCTAATGCTTAAGCTTATATCCGAGTCAGATCGTTTCAACAGATCTCAAGAAAAAGACTATAGTGTTATGATAATAGGTGTACCAAACGTTGGCAAATCGTCACTCATAAATAGATTGAGAAATCATCATTTGGGCAAGGCAAAAGCCGCGCATGTTGGAGCTGTAGCCGGTATTACAAGGGCAGTGCAGTGTAGAATAAAAATATCTGAGGATCCTCTAGTGTATTTGCTCGACACACCGGGTATTTTGCCACCAAATATTATTGACATTAACGCTGGATTGAAATTAGCATTAATTGGGTGTACTCAAGATCATCTGGTTGGGCCACAAGTAATGAGTGATTACTTGTTGTTTTGGTTGAATAAAAATCATAGATTAGATTACGTTGAAAAGTTAGGTTTACAAGGTCCAACCGATGATATTAACGAAGTTCTGATTCAGATCGCAGTTAAATTGAAAAAAATTATAAAATTAAAAAACTTCGATGGACAACTCGTAACAAAGCCAGATTTAAATTTCGCAGCAGAACATTTTTTAAAATGCTTTAGAACTGGCAAATTGGGCCAATATTGCTTGGACCAAGATATACTACGTAATAAGTAAATTGTTACTAGAAATTAGGTTTTCAAAGTCCTGTAGATAATTTTTGTAATCAACCCACGCGCAAAAATTACAATTAATTTTGTACATCAGGCAGTAAAATTGTAAGGCCCGCAAATTTTATTCTTGCATCTATACGTGTAAATACTGTAAATAAATCAGATTTGTTGCAGAAAGGAAAACTTTTTTTTATTTCTTTAACACAAAAACTCTCGGTGTATACCCAACAATGTACGTTGTACCACTGAAACAGAATTCAAGCTTGCACGACAAAGGCCAAAAGATACATATTTACAAAGCGAACGTGTTCCCAGAAACGTCTTTTAACGTCAATAACTCCAGCGGTGACAATTGAACGAGAATACAAAAAGAAAAATAAAAATTCATGATCAGTTCGAAACCTTGTTTGAAAATGAGATCTTGATCAAAAAGCTCGCGCAGTTCTACACAGCCAGCTGGTAACAGTACTTACTTGGGACCCGGGGACCATAGACCCAAGTGACTTTTCGCTCCCCCACTTTAAGCGCTACGTGGCTATCCTTTCCATCGGACGCATGTATATATAATATATCATACATTACCTGTTATACCGTGCAATCACTGTCCAACTTTCTCTCGCGAACACCCAGGTACGTACAATCGCACCGACAGTTTCTCCTTCGCTTCCAATCGTGTGTTTATATGCGCATCGTCGATATAGCGCCTCGTGAAATTTGACGATTTTTCTTTTCCTTCTAATGAAATATTTGAAAAATCTAAGAGATTCCAGATTTTTAATACCATTTTTACAATACCGATTTCGCTGAGAAATCGTTTTGCCCAAAGCCTTGTCGTCCAGTGATTTCACGTGAGTCGTTATTTTCATTACAGCAACGATGTTTGCAAGAGTGACTTTTTATCCAACCCTGGTTTATAACATGTTTATGGAAAAAGTATCGAGCAGGAGATGGTACGATCGGATCGACGAGACTGTTATACTCGGAGCTTTGCCCTTTAAAACGATGGCCCAACAGGTGATTTGATTGTTGTTTGATTTTTGTGGTACATCATAATTTATTGTTGATTATAAAAAAAAAACTGACTTTACAGCTTGTAGATGAGGAAAATGTCAAAGGTGTCATATCCATGAATGAAGACTACGAGCTGCGCTTGCTCTCCAATTCCGCCGAGGTGATTATTACAGTTGTTTTTCAGTTCGTGCGACGTAATTTTAAAATGTATTTTTTTTTTTTTTTCTTTATCTATTAGGAATGGAAAAAATACAACATACAATTTTTGCAACTGTCAACGACAGATATATTCGAAACGCCTTGCCAGGATAAGCTCAAACGAGGCGTGAACTTCATCAATCAGATTAGAAGCGAAAAGGAAGTCCAAAGTCAAGGTAACGACAAAGCCGCGACCGTTTACGTTCATTGCAAGGCAGGCAGGACTAGGAGCGCGACACTCGTTGGATGCTATCTGATGACGGTTTGTACAAAAATCCATCGTAATTATTTTCGAACATACTTTTCAATATTTAACTTTGTAGAAAAATGGTTGGACTCCCAAAGAGGCCGTGGATTACATGAAGAGTAAGCGAGAGCACGTACTCATCAAAAGTCCTCAGTGGCACGCTCTTACAATATTTCACGACAACTTGCAGTCGAAAAACTCTTAGTGCATTTCATTGCGACAAATTTGTTATTTTACATATGCACTCCTCGTTTGTGTGCATTTGTGTGTACAGTGCGTTGTTACATTGTGAAAATCATTGTTTGTTTTTTCTTTTAACAATCGATTTTAAAATATTTATTCAATGATCAAATTATATTAAACATTGATAGAAAAAACTTACATCATTTGTTTGGCTTGTTTTTTTTACTTTGATCAACGTAAATCGAAGCGAATTTAGTTGCTGTCGCAATCGCCTTGTCCAGAAGGATTTTGGCGCTTTCTTCGTTGATGACAGTTGGAACCATGTTATATGACACGAGCGGATTTTCATCTTTAAAAACGTTTCCTTTGGCGTCAAATATTTTTAGTATTTCGTTCATCCACATTTGTGCATTAAAAGACGAAGACTGCAGTTCCTGAAAAAGCATAAGACATGATGATTGTGATGTATAATAAAAAAAATTAAACCAGAAATAATTTTTCCCTTTTGCTACAGTATATATTGCGTTGTGTGTTTTATCTGATACTAAAATGTTGACACTTAGAGTCTCTATTTTACGAAATAGTTTTTAGAAAAATAAGACAAAAAAAAATTGTCAAACTATTAACTGACAAGATTTTCTTAACTTGATGCGTATTGTGTTTCTAAACTATGATATGGTACTTTTTAAACAATAACTTACGTGTGGTACAAAGCATCGAGCTTTAATTTTGTTTTTACAGTGAACAATAACCAAAGTTGGAGTCGAGGGTGGACAAAGTTTGATGATATTTTTCAACGAAATATTTTCTATGGATGTGTTGGTGGGCTGAAGGCAGTTGACAATAAATGGTAAAGATGAAGAGTCCAACAATATTTTGATCTCTTCTTCTATTGTATGCCTGTAAAATGAATAAATCTTAAATGAATGTCACTTGAAATCATACTCATCTAAGGAATAAATGTAAATACCTTGTTCTCTTTTTTTCTTTAATCCTTATGTTTTTGGACAGAGTTTCAAGTCTTTCCAAACTTTCTTGCGTCACAATGTAAGGATACTGTATTCTTTTCCTTTTGTTGTTTAAATCCCTTTTTTCCATTATCACTTTTGATTCTAGTTCCCCCAGCGAAGTTTGCTCAGCTGTAAACTCGTTTTCTATATTTGTTATTCTCTCCCTTAAATTATCACCTGCAAGTCTTGTTAAATGAGCAACCGGTCCGACTACAGCCTTAAAGCTCACACCATTGTACCCTTGGGATTTCATGCTTGTGATACAAAAATGTTCTAGCACAGAAGTTTTGTGTATGTGAGTTCCACAACACGCTTCTCTAAAATTATTTGTAAAAAATTATTGCCAAGAAAATAAATATTTCAAATAATGTCAAACGATACGTGTATGAAATGTTTTACTTTGAATTTAAAATATCGCTATTTATTTCCACAACTCGAATTCCCGTGTCTGGGTACACTTCTCCAGGAATCAATGTTAAATTATCCTCTTTGAACATTTCCAAGATGTTTAAAGTCTTCGTTTTAACAGGTACATCGGCTTCAATGACGTCATTCACTGACTTTTCTATGGTACTAACGTCCTGGACTGATAATTTTCGACCAAAGACACTGCATTCGAAGCGTAAATGATCTTTCAAAACGTCACTTCCTCGTTGGCCCACGACAGGCAGTAGTTTTTGTACAGCAGCATTCAACAAGTGAGCCGCAGTGTGATTTCTCATGGTTCCCGTTCGATGCTTCTCATCTATGGATATCAAGCATTCGTCACCAACTCGCACTTCGTGGTCTGGATCTCTAAAATTCATTACAGCATGCAATGGGTGTACATTTTTTTCAAAGGTAATTTAAAAAAAAAAAAAAAAAAAAACCCAACTCTTCGTCCCAGTCAACGAAATGTCCAATGTGGATCACGTAATCACGAACTTTCAAGACTTTTTCGAAATTAAATAGTAGATTGTTTATTTGAATGTGTCCTTTGTCAGCTACTTGGCTACCTGCTACGGCGTAGGCTGGTGTTTTATCCAATATAATACCAACTTCGGCATTTGTATTGACGACAGAGTCAGTTTCAACGATATTGCCGCTGCTTGTAACTGTTGCCTCCACGATTGCTTGACTCTCATCTATGTTCAACATGGATTCAGGTTCGGACACCAGATTTCCTATCAAAATCAAAATGAATATTATATGATTCGTTACATCATTTTTTCATCAATTATTGGTATTACTCACCATTTCTAATCATCCCTAATAATTTACATTTGACAATTGGAAAGTTGTATCCTTTGTCACTGTATGTATATTCATACTTGTATGAATCATCAGTTTTAGGAACATTTCCAGATTCAAGTTGATTCAAAGTATCAATGGATACAAAATCTTCGTTCACTTTGTTAGCTTCAAGCCTGGAGCGTTTCTTGGCTCTTTCGATTGCTTCTTTAAAGGCTCTTGCATCAAATTGTATGGACTCCACTTCTGCCAGTTTACTAATGATTTCTGAATCCAAACCATAAGTATCATATAGCTTGTAAGTAAAGTCACCCGGTAAACTTTTTACTTTGTCCCTAAAAGTGATTTTCTGATGCAATAATTAATTTTGCAATCTTTAACAAAAAGACACTGATAAATAAAAACACATACTCCGACTTTATGAACCTTTGCAGCTCAAAATATCCTGCAGTAAGTCCAGGGAAAGTAGTGTCAGTTATAACAGACAGCTCAGGTCGAGAGTTTACAATTTTTTTCCAACTTTTAAAAGCTGTACTTCTTGCAGATTTCATGACTTCCTCCTCGAACTGTATTATAAATTTTATCTGCAAGAGTAAGTGCAATCATTATTAACTGCACAATAATTGTATGAAAAAGACACGATACGCAAGCACTTACTTTGCTCAAATTTTTAGGGATTTCTGGATAAGCTTCTCCGAGAGTTTCAGCTATGCAATCGGTCAACTCTGGTAAAAGCTTATTTGTTTTAAAAGTATTTTCACTGATGTCGATGGCTTTCCTTAAAATTCGCCTGAGTTTGTGACTAGAAAACGTCGAAATCATCAAATGAATCAAAACTGCATTAAATTATTTTGTTCAAAAATCTGAAATTAATGTTGAGAATCATTACAAACTTCTTATCAGGCAACATCCCATCTGCGAGAGATACAGTAATCATTCTGGCATGGTCGGATAGAATTCTGTATCCAGTGTCAATTTTATCTTTGTCAGCTGTTCCAAACCTTCCCTCATATTTTGGAGCATTTGCTGCTTTTTCGATTGCTTTAAACAAAGGCTGGAAAAGATCAGTGTCGTAATTTGACCTTTTACCCTGTAATACTGTCACCAATCTCTCGAATCCCAAGCCAGTATCAACATGTTTGGTCGGTAATGGTATTATCTGGCCGTTTTGAAGTCTGTAACGTTCAAACATCAAATGCAAGCTCATCTTTGCAAAGGGACATTTTTATTTTTTGTTAAAAAGTTATAGTGGAGCTTGAATGACAGTTACCTTTGAAACTGAATGAAAACAATGTTCCAAAGTTCCGTAAGATCTTCGTGACCCTTGTTAACTCTAGAAGCTTGATTTTTGGCATGCATGGTGTGATCAATGTGTATTTCCGTACAAGGACCGCAGGGTCCCGATGGCCCCATTTCCCAAAAATTTTCTTCCATGCCGAATGGTAAGATGCGATCCTCAGCCACACCGATTTTCAACCAAATATTTTTACACTCTAAATCTGGCTTCAGACCAAATTTTTCATTGCCCCCAAAGTATGTCACATACAAACAGTCCTTTTTGATTCCATAAACTTGAACCAAAAGCTCCCAAGCATACTTGCAGGCATCTTCCTGAAATGTAATTATTCGTTTTATGACTTTTGTTCATTTATATCGTAAATAAATTCACCATCAACTGTATACCTTGAAATAATCCCCAAAGGACCAGTTGCCAAGCATTTCAAAAAACGTGTGATGGTACGAATCGTGCCCAACTACGTTCAAATCGTTGTGTTTGCCACCAACTCGAATACATTTTTGTGAATTTACAGCTCTGATCGCTGGTGGACTATGTAGGCCAAGAAATATACCTTTGAACTTGAAATGTTTGCTTTAAATCGAGATATTTGAAAATACTTCAAATCACAAAATACTATTGGTTTTGGGGAAAAAAAAGCACCAAATTATAAACAGTACACGACTCATAAAGCTTACCTGATTCATCCCTGCATTAACAAATGGAATGGAAGGATCATTCAAAGGCATAACTGGACTAGAGCGAATCAATGCATGATTGTTTCTTGTGAAATACTCAATGAATTCACGTCTAATTGATTTTGAACTTCTAATGAGCTTCTCGTTTGTACAAAGGGCACGAACGATCACTGCTCTCTTGACACTTTTCAAACGTTGGGTCAACATTTTCAAGGGAGGATAAATTTTTTTTTTTTTCTTTACAAGCTCGTCATAGGTTATATCCTTTATTCATCATTTTGGCAACGATAAGCTTTGACGTTACGTTTATTTGCGAAAAAATATCCGCCAACAATTTGTGATTCTGAACTGCTGGATATTACCAAGATTCATTGTGTAATGGCTGGACGAGGTGGTTTTTTCAAGGAGCGATACCATGCACATTGGTACACATCGGTACACATGACGAAAACTAATTAAGTATCTGAAAGGTGTCGCGCCAACGATTCGCGCACCTCTACGCTACTGACATGTAAAAGCGTTGAGTTTCATTTTATACTTATTTAACTGCAAATAAGGTTTTTAAGAACATTAAAATTTTTAGAAGTATATGTACGTAAGCATATTCTTTATTTACATCTCCTATACAAGTAAAACTTACTGCACAGTTCTTTTACATACCGCATTGTAGAAAGTTTGACATGAAAAAAAGAAAAAAAAATCTAGAATCAAATTAATTATTATTAAGTCAAGTTTTCGACTACTAGAAAAAATATTTATTTTCAAGTATAATTATATTTTACATAAGAGCATATACTTATAGGTATAAATACATAATTATGAACAAGGATTCAATATCTATACAGATTCTAACACACCATTATTTTCTTTACGATTGAATTACTTTTTAGAAACTATAGATACAACTAAAAAATCCACTAATTTTCTTCGTTCATATCTCTTGTCGAAAATTAATGTTTATTTCATAAACTGAATATTATTTCAATCAACTAACTATAAACAGTTATATTAATGTACATGAAAATATTTGGTTTATCTTTTGCAACTGATTGATTTATAAATTTACAAATTATGGCAGTTGTACAGATGTTGTTCTTGTAAATGTGTTACTAATATGAACTTTAATTGCAAAAACATATTATGCAATGTCACATGTAAGTCAGATAACCAAATTCAGTTCAACTTTTAATTTTATATCAAATGCACTGTAAGGAAACTCAGAAAACTTTTTGCAATACCCAGAATAAGTGATAGATAAATATTACAGTCTTTTCTTTGGCAACGAACCAAAAGCTGATATAACTGTTGCTCTTGTACCAGTAGCAGTAGATGTTAAGGTGGTTAAAGTTGTTTGAGTAACTATTACAGGCTTTGTGGTGGTTGTAGCAGTACTAGAATTTGTGGACACCTGATCCCACTTACTTTTCCTTTTCTTAGCGTCTTCTTCCGCAGTTACTGCAGCGCTGTTTGGTCGTTTAGCAGTTCCCGTTATAATTTCTATTTTGGACTTATCTTTTTTGGCCTTATCCAACTTATCCATTTCCACTTTTTGGGTCTTTGCTAACTCGTCGTAGTAAGAGTCTTTGCTCCATTTTGAAGGATCAAACCTATCACGTGGATAGTTAGTGCCTAGTTCATTTATGTTACAAAACTGGATAAGCTTTTCATATATTGATGGGTTTCGAAACTCCTTCTGATTTTGTATTATTTTGTTCATGTCCAACCCGTCAGCTTTTCTTTTGAACAATAAATTTTTTATCTTATCCTGTACATCCAAGGGACATTGTCCAGATGGATTGGGAGGTATGACAACACCATACGCATCTGTTTCTCCATCTGACGTTGGCTCCCTTTGACGAATCGGAGACTGTTGTTCAACCATGTCCATGGGCTGCCTTCCATTTAAGGGAAACTTTTCTTCAGCATGTAGCCCAACAGTTCCTTCATCATCAGAGACAACCGTGTCATCAAAGTATGAGACAAGCCTATTATTCCTTGCACTAAAACCAATGGTATTTACGACAGGGCTAGGTGCTGCTGAAGCAACAGACCTGGGACTGTTGTCTTGGGATAGACTAGTGGCTCGGTCGTTTTGTGCAGCAGACCCCATGGGAGGAGTATTGGAGTTCTCCTGAAAGTCATCATCCACCCCTTCTTCGCCCTCTGAATCGGTATATGTAGTTGTTAAAGATGCCAGAGCAACACTTGGTACAGACATGTTGCTTCCAAGTTGAGTGTCCAGTTAGCTACAAATTATTTTGTGTTGAAACTCATTCGTACAGTGCTGTTCATAAACCACAGACAGCTTGCCTTTACTGAACAATAACTAAAACAGAGAGATAGGACAATTAAATGCATTTTTTCGATTACTTAGATAGCATTGTATAATACACAAGACAGAAAGTGATAAAAAGTTTAAATTAACGACAAATATAAAATTAGTATACTACAATAGCAGCAGTAGTAGATCAACGAAATTGAGGTTATCTGAACGCATCAAGAGAATCTCATCTTTGAGTTTATACACAATAAAAATCGCTGTGTCTATTCGCACCAAATCCACGTAATTACGTGGATATAAGGATAGGAATTTTAAAGAAAAACGCTACTTTTTCAAATGAAGTATGTCCACCGTCCACGTAAAGTGAAGTTCGCAGATTGCGTGACAGTACCGCCACCCGAACTGACGCTCTGCGGCCAGAGTTAATGGGCAGAGATTAGTTGGGAGATTGCTGACAGAGATATGGGCGCTAAGCGGCAAATTCAAATGTGCTAAAACCAACTAACTAAATCCCAAGCTTTTTAACCTAATAACTCAGTACCCAAAACCTCTTAAACCAAATAACCCTATACTTCAGATAAATAAAACCTAACAATATTTTAAATACACGCTCAACTTATAACTGTATACATAAATCATACTCATCAGATTGCAAAATCTTTAAAATAAAGATCCAAACGACTTGCAACACATAAATATAATGAGCAAAAGCTACTAAATAACCCAGGGAGTTTGATATCCAATTTATTTAATGATAAAAATATAACATATAACTACAGCGCATTCCCCCATATGACCCAAGGCATTTACTAGCCAGTTTATTAACAAATTAAAAATAAATTAACAGCCCAAGCGGTTTTCAGGTGGCGGTACTGTGACGGTCACGTCTTCGGTTTTCGGCCGCAGGCATGGTGTAAGAATAGACTCCTAATAGTTCGCTCCCGTCAAGCGGCGAAATCCTGCACGATTTATATATAAGCGCGATCGAGATGGTCTAAGCAAAAAAATTTAAAATTAAATAAAATTAAAATTAAATTCTTAAATTTTTTTAAAATTCCTAACCTAATATCCACGTAATTACGTGGATTTGGTGCGAATAGACACAGCGAATAAAAATTGTAAAATTAACAATGCCCATTTCAAAAAAATTACCTGATACTGCAAAAAAGGGAATCCAACTGCCAAGTTGCAAGTTGTTATAAATAATTAACAAGGAAGTTCTTGAATCTTGGAGACTATAAGGAAACGCTGAAAAAAACAAGATGGTCTTTTTCACACACTGAATTCTCCAAAGTCGACTTGTCGTCCAATCGACACACTACTTAGCCGTTTCTGGGAGAATATTGTATGTTTACTTTACCTTATCGAAGCTTCGATTTATTAAAGTTATCTAAAAATTATTTGTACTTATGTACATATTGATACGGTTGTCTGCACGAAACTATTCTACAATTATGCCCTCTATGCGGAATGGAGTGATGGAATAGTGGAACACTAGAAAAAAATTTAATTTTTTGGAAACGAAAATGGGTACTTTTTAGTTCGTTATCAGCCTCGCTAGATGCCGCTGATTGTTAACGGGATTTTTAAAATTCACAAAATAATACATAATATACCCAACTAATTGGTCATTAAGGTCATTTGACTAGAAAAATCAAAAATTATTTACTGTAATTTATTATTTTTGTAATTCACCCACACCGTCTTATTTTTACATGTATAAACGTATATCTATACATACGTAATTGCTTATGCACGGCACCTGAAATAATCTCATTTTGTAATAATGTATTCATGCAAGCTGTGCTAAGTTCAAAAGCCATTGCAATAAAAAACTATTCGATTCAATATTTAATTTTATATAAAATCAACGGGCCGCGGACACGCAACGAGTAGCACGGCAACCGCGCCAGGCCCAAGATTCGGCCACTTTCAAGTTGATTTGAAAGTTTCAACTTCCACTCAGGTGTAAACGCTCTCTGTATAAACGCCACCATATATATTTAACTTATAAAAATGTAAGAATAGAATAAGTAGAAGTGAAAAGTGCTTTATTGGTATGTTCGAGAGATTTGTTCGATTGTTCGTTTGGATAAACTCTGAGCTAACCTGAGCGGAGTTTTGTGCGCGAGAGGTTATAGATACACGCATACATGTTCTGCGTAAGCCGGGTAACTTTTAGTTTTTGGTCAATCTGAGCGGATACCGTATGCATAAGTCACGCGTTAAATGATTATTGTATCTCTCGAGTGTTATTTTTTGGTTTAGCAACAAGTGGATTTATACAGCTAATTACTCTGTACACGTTAAGGTGAATTAAAAATGTATATGCTTTAACATCTATGATATATGCAATGCATCTGTGTTCATTGTTAGTAAAATACATTCTAGTCATAAAATTATCGAGTTAAGTATTGGACAATACCTGAATTTCTGAATATTAATATGTACCTTGAGTTTGAGCTTTGCAACCATCCTAAATGTATGTATACATTCTGTGTATGTGTGTACACCGAAATGTACACAACGACAAATCCCTGAGTCATTTTGGAATACTCGACAAAAGTGTTTATATCAAGGTATTTAACTCTTTAGAGTTAATTCACACAAAAGTAAGACTGAAAACTGCCACTGTCAATGACTGTAGATAGCTAATATGTACCTGATGACAAATTTAAAAGCTAGTAAACATGATTTAAAAACTTTGATGAAAAGTATACGTATCAGTAAATCTATTTATCTCTTACTTTTATTGTTACCTATAAAAAATATACTTTCTATTATGAACTAATGCTTAGGATATTACCAGAATAGTTACATTTTTGGTTGTTCAGTGATCAAAGTAATGTATTAGGATAAATCTCTATACTTCTTTGTATGTAGTACTATAAGATTATGTTTCAGTATCGTATATTTTAATTATACCTCTAACATGTACTCATTTGCACTGACATGTACAATAATGTTAAAAAAAATCATATATCCTGATTTAATGTTAATAGTTAGTATTTAAATGTCAAAATAGTATTAAATATGTATAAAACTGACAATTTCACCATGCTTGAAATACCTGATAGCTGAACGTTTGGTCCTATTAAGTATACTTAGATTATTAGTTTTATTTATTAATAGCTTGTATGGTTAATTATAAGCGCCAGGATTAAAAGAAATGCTTATTTTGGCTACTAAAACGTAGGTTTTAAGCACAATTTATTCATGGCTTTGTAATAAATTCCGTGAGCACTTTAGAAAATAAACGCCAAACCAACAACTCTAAACTGATGACCTGTATTGGCTTTATTGAACTGAGACATGTGATATGTTTGCATTTTCCCATTTTTAGTTGATTTTAGTTTCCATTGTGACTAATTAAAAGTGTTATATGAGCTTCCAAGTTACAATACTATAGTATGTGAATCATAAAAGCATGCCAATTTGCCAATACACTTCTTACACCAAATCTGTGTTGGTTATTTTTTATAAATTGAATATTTTCCAAGAATATTTTAGTTAATAAAAAAAAACCAATTATGTACCTCATAGATTTAAAATATAGGAAAATACATTCCTTTCTTTAAGTATTGAAGTACTATAGATTTCATATTTAAATTTGTTACTGTTTCATTAATGGAAAATTACTTTTCATGACCTTATCGGTAGGGTAGAAAACTTAAATTTTGCTAGACTAACCTACTGCAGATAGTTGAATATACAAAGATTTATAGTACCGATCGTGGATAACTCATAAGCCTATAAACTTTGGTAGTGTGTGATCCATTACAAAGAGGCGCTAGTGCAGTTTCATGATATACATACGATCAACATAAGCATATATTGTAGATATCAAAATCTAAAGCAGATCTCAGAAAAGAGATCAAAAAATAAACATTTTTGCAAAGTTTTAATTTTTTTTTTTTTATTTCGTTTAGCTATTACAAAAAACTAAAAAGGATCTTCAACTGAAAATATATAAATTCCTTAACTGGAAACAAAAAGTTAGTCTTGTAACAGTATGTTAGATTAAAAGACGTAATACCTATACAGTTTTGAGTTAATGAGCTAAAATCCTTATTATTTTGTAAATATTAAAGTTTTTTTTTTATTTACCTCCAAAAATTTTTGTAATTGCAATGTGTTTTTAATGATAACATATTAATGATATTTACTCATTACTCTGCGGTCCATCATATATTTCAAAGATTGATTTTCATGTGCCATACACAGTAGCATTATAAAGATAAAGTAGTAGGATACGTTGGCTTGGATGAAAAAGTAAGCAAAATTTTGATAAAATATTCATGAATTTATATCTAGAAAATGAAAATTCCCGCGCAAGTAACGGAAATTTTTGCTTTTCAGGCCATTGGTATAAAAAATAATTGCAAGATATTAATCCATTCGAACTATATATTACATTGCATAATTCTTAGATTTTCTTAGTATTTTTTTATCATAAGTTTGTAATATATCGTTATTTCTCGAGCAAATGAAGTCAGACAGCATTTAAGTGGTGCTCAATATCAACGCGAGCCTAATAAGTCGTGAGCTATTATCAATAATACATATAAAAAAGTGGCTTTTGAAAATCCAGTAGGAAAGCGAATCATACAAATATCTATTGTTTGGAGGATATATATTTATAGGGTTACACATCTTTCATGAAAAAAAATCACATTTTCTTTAATTCTTTTTTTGCCGTAGTGCTGAGAAAGAAATGAAGGTAGCTTTTTAAGTCGTAGTATTGTATTTATCGACAAATTTTTCTAGCACCAATTTAGATAATTTTATCTATGAGTTTTTCTTTATCTTTCATTTTTCGAAGTGTATACAGCCGTATGTACATATTCTTGAAGTAGAAGTATAAAATATTATTTAAAAAATTTAAACAGAATTAGTCAAATAATTACCTAAATAAAAAATTTGGCTTCTCTTATTTTATACACTAAGGTAATTTTTTCCTGATTGAGGGAAAAGTCAAAAATCGAAAATGAGTCGATAATATAGATACCAACATGATTTATTGATTGAGGTTATAAATAAAATAAGTAACTATATTACTGACTCATTATAAACTAACGTTTGACGTCATATTTTCTTTCAATCAGGGAAAAAATTACCGTAGCCTTACGGTAAAAAGTATAATTTAGATGAATTTTTCGGCTACAAAAAAATTACCGTAAAGCTACGGTAAAAATTACAGTGTATACTTCTCGATCACAACTTTACCGTTGCTTTTATGGTGAAAATTCACGTAACTTTTTTTTCCGTGTAATGTCTTATTTTGATAATTTCGCGAATACTAATATATACAAGTTTCTATCGAGATATACAGGCAAGCCCTCAGAGAATGTCAACTTTAAAGAGAATAAGGATGGGGGAAGGGTGTACTAGATACTCTTGTCCTTTTTTACGTGAAACAATCTCGCACCTTGTCAAATTCAATCGAAACTTCCATCACTTGCCGGCTTATCGGTGACACACCAAATCTCCAAACTTTGTATTACTTCGTATGTACTGTGTGTGCCAAAGATAAACGCAAACGACACTTGGAAAATGAACAAACTTTTGATGATAAACCCGCATAAAAGGAACGAAATAGATGGGGAAAGAAAATCAGAATTAACAAAGATTTGGAAGAATAAGCATACAGTAAGATTTTTTTTATTTAAATGGGCAATCAAATGAATACGAAATTTTATTAAATAATTTTAAGTCTAAAATATCTATAAATTGACCCCTTTGAGTGGACATATGTACCTTAGTATAAATCATAAAGCATATTATGTCGTATATGTCTTATCAGTCATATTTCAAGAGTTTCTCTAACAAGTTTTAAAGTTATTAAAAATTCATATTACAAATAGTAATAAAGCCAAGGTAGTTTCTTATAAATGATTTTATAGACCACTCTTCAACTGGACAAGGATCATTAAGTATTGTGTATGTATATCAAACAATAGAGTTGTGTAAATAATAGTCCACAGCATATTTTTGTGTTTCAAGTTACCACAAAGAAATAATGGTTTTTGAATGTTCGTCCATTATTGTGAGGCGATCTACAAGTCCTTGATATAAATTTTCATGAAAAACGACAAATTTATTAATCAATTTAACATCCTCGAATAAAATTAACGTCTTCGCCAACGCCTTGCAAATAACACTGCCATATACTGCCTAGCTCATAATTTATTTGCAAATTTTGCTTACGAGCTGCTGCGCACATAAATACATCAGAATGTGAAACATAGAGCGGGTCGTGTGTAATTTCATAAAGTTGACATCAGTGCTTAGGTACTCACGTGTAATGGTAAAAACGATGATAGGTGTATGCCTGAGGCGACAAAATCGCATTCGCCAACATAGAGCTAGTGGGGAACATCAGCACTTTATCACACCCCATACATGGGAAAGTCCAATCTTAAACTT